GTGGCACATTCTCTCCTTCCAATCTGCTTAAATGTTACCCCCTAAACAAGGCCTTGCCTGGCTCTCCTATCTAAAATTGTAAGATTATCCCTCACCCTTGTTACACAATCTACTTTTATTTTCTGTTTTCCCTTGCTAGAATGTGAGCTCGATGAGGGCAGGGATTTTTGTCCGTCTTGTTCACTGCTACATGCTCAGCATCTAGACAACTGTCTAGCAAATAGTAGATGCTTATTGTTAAATGAAAAAATAGTTGCATAGGCATGAAAAAAAATGTAACTTTGTAGATCAAATAAGTTTCCCCCCCGCCGCTTTGGTCTTCTTGTGAGTCTTCTTGGTTCTTCATGGGAGACCTTATTGTTAAATGAATAAATAACTGGCTGGTCACCCCAAAAAATGTGACTTACAAGACCAAACAAGGTTACTGAGCAGTATAAGTGATTTCAAAAATCATTGACAAGGCATAGCATGATACAATAAAATAAAGCTAGATCAAATAAGCTTTGAGATTCTAGACAGGGATGCTGGGAAGCTAAGATAACATTAAACATCACAGCGTTTTTATGAATACTCCAAAACTCCAAGTTGCAATTATAAACTAGCTTTTCATGGTCTCAGTGATGAACTGAGAAATAGAGAGCAAGTCATGTTAAAATAGAGATTCAAGAATTATGGGAACAAATTTCCATCCTTAAAGGGATGCAATTTTTCCCAAATCAAAGACAGGAATGGAAACCCTAGAATTCCAAGAACATTATTGCGAAGTCTCTACTTTCCAGGCTATCACATGACATGCTCAACAGGAAACATGGATCAGCTTCTTCCTTTTGTGAGCCTTCCTGGGTTTTTGTTTGTTTGTTTGTTTGTTTGTTTTTGAGACGGAATCTTGCTCTGTCGCCCAGGTTGGAGTGCAGTGGCGCAATCTCGGCTCACTGCAACCTCTGCCTCCCAGGTTCAGGCAATTAACCTGCCTCAGCCTCCCGAGTAGCAGAGACTACAGGTACGCACCACTACGCCCAGCTAATTTTTGGATTTCTAGTAAAGACAGGGTTTCACGACGTTGGCCAGGCTGGTCTTAAACTCCTGACCTCGTGATCCACCCGCCTTGGCCTCCCAAAGTGCTAAGATTACAGTCGTGAGCCTCCGCACCCAGCTGCCTTCCTGGCTCTTTATGGGAGGCCTGGAAAATAATGTCAAGAATACGCAATACTTGGCACTAGTTTAAAATCTTAAGAATTGCTTTTCTAGAAAGACAATTTTACTGAGAATGTTTCCTTCCAAACAAAGAAACAAAAATGGTAGCCAATAGTTACTGTTGATCTAAGTGATGTTTCTGAAGGTGTTCCAGTCAAAGAACAAGGTGCTGGACTATATTAAACATTGGGTTTTTAATGCCTTCCCCACTAAAGTTCGTTTTTTATAGCTAGGAGTAACAAGCAATTGCCAGCAAAGCTGGAATAGGAAAATCAAATATTCTGCCTATTTACATATGGTTCCCCGAAGCCATTCCTGATTAAAACTTGTACCATTTCAATCTTCCTACTGGAGATATCTATTAACTAGAACGGCATGTGAAAGCCAATGAATTTAGTATATAATTACACGTATCCTATACAAATTACTTCTCAATGACCTCTACTCATGAAAATAAACCAAAGAGGGATGACTGGCTCATTATAAATCTACAAGAAGATTTCCCTGGGAAAAGGTATTGAGAGCAGAGTCTTGAAAGATCTTAAGCTTCAATTGAATTTAATTTCAGCAGGAAGCAATCACTTCTGTATCTGAATTCCCAATGCATTTTACGTGAACCTCTCCAGTGGCAAGGAACACTTTCCAACTTAAATCCCTGCTCTTGTCACTAAGTAACAATGTGACCTTGGCCAAGCCACTTCCCTTCTCAGTGTTTTCATTTGTAAAATGAGAGGCTGGAATCAAGTGATTTCAAAAGTCTCTTTCAGATCTAATGTTTCATCATTTCATAATTATAATCAAAAGAGCCCCCTAACCTCACCTCTTACCTCTAAGTGAGAAAGCCATTGATTTACCTTTGGAGTTCCCATACTGTCTAGACAAACAAGTTCAAGGACACAGAAAAAAATACAATTCTCTGAAGTGTCCACTCTCTGTGGACCTCCTTAAGCCCTTCTCAACCTCAACCAAGGTTTTAAACCAAATGATTCTCTTCAAGTCCACCTTTACCATAGTTCTGGCATTCTGCCAAGGATTATAAGACCAGAAAATTAAACAGATATCACTTGTCACTTAGAAGACATGCACCCACCACAGAGTTTCAAGGCACATGCTTTGTACACCATCTGACCCAGAGCCACATGCTTTGTACACCATCTGACACATAGCCAGACACCTACAGAAAGGTTGTTTCATCGAATAAGATAATCTGATGCATTCCAATCATCTGAGAGTATGTGCTAGAAAGCTACAGCAGATGTGGCTGAGAAGTAAAACTGGAGAAAGGAAGACACCAAGACGTGCAAGAAAACACAAGTGGAACGTCCCCTTAACCTTTCCAGAGGTGGACATTTTAAAAACCCAAGTCCCTGGCCGGGTGCCGTGGCTCACGCCTGTACTCCCAGCACTCTGGGAGACCGAGGCGCACAGATCACGAAGTCAGGAGTTCAAGACTAGCCTGGCTAGCATGGTGAAACCCCATCTCTACTAAAATTACAAAAAATTAGCTGGGCATAGTGGTGCGTGCCTGTCATCCCAGCTACTCAGGAGGCTGAGGCAGGAGAATCCATTGAACCAGGAGGCAGAGGTTGCAGTGAGCCAAGACTGTGCCACTGCACTCTGGCCTGGGACATAGAGCAAGACTCTGTCTCAAAAAATTTAAAAAGTGAAAAAATAAAATAAAATCCCTGAGACAGCTACACTGCTGGGATAAGAAACACCTGCTCATAATGCACATAGCCTTAGGTGTTCAGATTCTGAAGTCTGGATATTTGTGCTCAAATCCTAACTCTGCTAATTACTTGCTGCATCACCATGAACAAGTTAATCAACCTTCTGTGACTCGGTTTCCTCATCTGTAAAATGAGGATAGCAATAGTACTTCATTACTATTTTGTTCTTTGAATTGTTGGGAAGATTAAATGAGTTAATGTATGTAAAATGCTTATAACAGCATGTGGCACATAGTAGGTGCTCAACAAATGAGCATTCCCAGTATTGCTATTATTATTAGATGGAGTTCTGAGAATTTCTGAGGTTAAGAGAACAAAGGAGTTTCTACACTGCTCTTACAGATTCAAAGTCTGCAGTTGTCTCTTTCTGGTGACAACTGCAAGTACCAACATTTCTATATTTATATGTAATTTATATTTGTATACTTTATCAGTCTTAATTACTCCTGAGCATAGAAACTATTCATTAGACATTTAAATTCCTTTCTGAAAGATATTCTAGGTTTCAAAAAGTACTTGATCACCCACGCAAGGGAGTACAATAGGACCATTAAACTGGAGGGCTGAGAGTAATTGGGAGCACAAAGACATCTTTGTAGAGCTTTGCACTATCACATACCACTGCTTCAGGTTTGGAGAGTTGTCTCCTTAAGAAAGAAACTAACTCCATTGTTCGTTCACATCAGAGTTCTTGGATGTGATAGTTCTTAAATCCCTGGCAAGTCCTTATGAAAGATCAGAGGATCTCAGTTCTTTCCATTAGGACAGCATTAAATCCCAAGCGATTTTCTTAGGTCAGCATCATTATTTGAGATGCCAGAGAAAGTGGTGAAATTTCCAAACGCTAAACTTGTTCCTTGTTTCAGACTGAAGACACAAGGTAAAGTTAGAAAAAAATGAGTAGTTCTGAGGAAATTTTTGAGACTGGGAAATTGTAAGAAATTTAAAGGGTACTTTAAAGATCTTTTTTTTTCTTAAATCTCTTTTCCAAAACAGTTATTTTAGTAAACAAAAAACAAATAACAATAACAAACAAAAATCCAGTCAAATAACTAGAGTTGTCAGAAAATAATGAACCTTGAAAGTTCCAGTCAAATATGGACTTGATGGGATATCCCATTCCCTGATGGGATATCCAGAATTCTGGTTTTCCAAACATCTTTCAGTAAATCAGACAAGAGAGCTAATACTATGTCTTGTATCCCTTTGCCAAATAATCAGGCACAAAAGAAAGTCAACAGAGGTCATGCTCTCCTCGATCTGTTCAACTACCATTTTTGTAATTCTATTCTAAGGAACAATGAGGGCCATAAACACACAGAAACAATAATAGAAGAAGAGAAATTTGGGTGGGCTCCTAAGAGGTAGGCTATGATCTCTGTTTCAAGGGGATTATATATCAGAAAATGCAAGAACAAGTCTACCACGGCCACCCAACAAGGTCTAAAACTGCAGAATTGGGTAGAGGGCTAAGGAGTTTCCTGAAAATGGAGGACTGTCTGCTTACAAAACCTACCTCAACTGCTTCTGGCAAGGAAGGACAGTAGTTACAAACTGTGTGAAGCCAAGAACAAGTCCATATTTGACAAATCACACCCATCAAGATAGTGATGTCAACCATAATAAAATATTTTGGCAAGTCTGGAAATGTGCACCTGTGGGAACCTGGAAAGATTTGACAGATTTTTTGTTTTCCCAGCTCTTCATCAGCAAGTTAATTATAGCAACTGTACAATCTCCTGTGAGCTGTAGAGAAAGACAGTTGGCTGTATGAAACCAAGAGGCTGCTCTCCTGGGCACACGAGAGACAAATGACAGGAGTGCTTACATGCGAAAATATTCTGAGTACAGTATAACGATGAGCCAGCTAGCATGGCTAGATGAGAAAGAGGCATATTCTGCAGACACACGGGTGTGACAAGACTAAAAAGTACACATGATACACACACAAGCATGTGCATGTACACACGCAAGCACACATGCAAACATGTTCGTGTATGTGTGCATCTCCAGAGCCTAAACAACTCGGGTCATATTACCACACACAGGGCTGCTTTTTCGCAGAGCAGACTGTACCTTCACAGCTATAACTGTACACTGCCACCGCTGACCTGTCCACCAGATTTTCATCATGATGCCAGCTCACTGCCATTTTCCCCATGCCAAAATAAGGTTCCTCTTTCAGGTATGGCATTTTCTGAGGATCCATGAAATTCAGCAAAGTTACGTTGTATGCTGCTCTGCTCTTAATGTCCACTTCATCTTGTCCATCGTAGGATGACCCCATCCCAACCCTGGGGAAATCTGCAGACATACACAATGGCACAGCATCCTCATTAGCCTTCTCTTTGGCAGCAAGTTCTTCCAAAGCCTGGATGGTTTCTATCTGCAGGTAGTCATTGAGCTTGAGGAAGGTCTCACAAGCAGCGGCTATTTCAGCCTCGGGGTATTTTATATTAGACCCTTTCACTGGCCAGGGGACTGTGAAGAGCCTGGTGTTCAGGTACTTGTAGGTACAGCCTGGATTACCAATGAGGATGCGAGATACCGGAGTGAGCAGATCTTTGCCTTGGATCCTAACCAGGTCCCGAAATAAGCAGCCATGCTTGTGCAGTGTGAGAAAGGCTTCTTGAACCTCTTTATGGAGCTCCTCAGATACACTGCTGGCTTCTCGGAGAATTAGTTTAGGATATTTCAGCTGCCACTAAAACAAAACCAAAGCAAAAACAGACGTTGATGTATAGTTACAATTGTATTATTTCCAAAGGTGTGTTTCTTTGTAAGCATTTGGGGAGTTGTTGGGGGACTACCTGGTGCTTATTTCTAAACAGGAGTCACATCTTCCTAGCCCAAAACAGAAAACCAAATAAAACAAATGTCATCAAACTCTACAGTCAAGATTTTCAAGTTCAAGCTCAAATTACTAACAATCTTTAATAAAAAACAAAAAATAATAATGTGGGTCCTGATACACCAGAATTGCTGTGTGACCACTTTTTCTCACCCTAAATCTCAACACCATTTTATTAACTGTTTATTATCTAAAATACTTATTTATTAAGTGCTTACTAGGTACCAGGTACTATTCTAAATTATTTGTGAGCATTAGCTCATTTTAACTCTATGCATAGCATTATTATCTCAAGTTTATTAGACGAGACCACTGAAACATAGAGACATTAATTTGACCAAAGACATTAATTTGCCCAAAGTCACACAGCTGGCAAATATTGGAGCTGGAATTTAAAACCCCTGGACACCAACCCCTGGCTTCCAGGGCATGAGTTCTTAACCATGAGTATGCATTGTCTCTCAATAAATGACAAACTGGTTTCTGCTTCATACTTTCACAGAAAGAGAACTCACTTCTCTTCAGGAGTTAGATATTAAGTTCCATGAACACAAAAGTCATGGTAATTTTGCTCATGACTATAATACAAGTGCCCAGAATTTACTCAGTAAATGGTAAAGGAATGAATAAATGGATTTGTGGATGGATGAATGAGGTGTTATTACATTGCAATTCTAGAAAGTTCTAATAATTCTTTTTTTTTTTTTTTGAAAGTTCTAATAATTCTACTGGTGTCACTGGAGAAGAGTAATATTAGCCAATTCCCTCCCCTAATATAGAAATACATGGAATGATTAATGTAGGTTAGGGCTGCATTAGCTTTTCGGCTACCACTTTCCTTAGAACTTGGCATGTGAATCGGTGTCAGGCTGGAGTTTCCTGATTCTGTATAATACAACTGATTTATTTGTAACCAAATCACAGGATTTTACATTTACCTCTGTAACGTTTACCTCTGTAACGTTTGATCGGATCTGTTCCTTCCTAGTTTTAGGCTGTCTTAAAGAAACAGTCAGACATGATCAACACATTAACCTGTCCTCCCTGTATTGTGCTGCCCACCATTGTTAAGATACCTTCCGTCTCTGTCTTCATGCAGTAATTACCATTCATATGATAGACAGGGCAAGTCCAGTATTCTTCCATACATTTTTTTTTTCATGCAACATCTGTTTATTGAGCACCTACCACCAGGTGGAAATAAGGTCCCTGCTCTCAGAAAGCTTTCTACCAAATCAAGTAAATAAATAAAGAAAAGCAACCCCAAATTGTGTTAAGTACTAAGACAGAAACAAACCAGTAGGAAATCTTATTAGAGCAGGAAGAATTCCCTACGGAGACGGGATTTAAGCTGAGATCTTCAGGAAAAGAAGGCACCAGAAAATATGACAAGTCAGAGAAAATGCTTCCCAGAAAGAGAGACTAAAGAAGCCAAAGGCACTCAGAAAAAAGACCAATCTATTCTAGGGACCAAAAAAAAGGCTTGTTTTACTAGAGCACAAGAGCCAAAGACAGAGTGACGTGCGATGAGGAGGCAGAGGAAGGCGGAGGCCAGATCACACACAGCCTTAGAGGTCATGGTAAGGAATCTGGAGCTAACTCTAGATGCACTGGAGGATGTAGAAGGGAGAAAAATAACTTGATTTACATCTTATACAAATCACTCTCAGTTATAATATCAGGCATGGATTGGAAAGAGGCACATGTGAGCGTGGAATGTGCTATTACAATCATCTGGGAGAAAAGTGATGATGGTCTGGACTAAAATAGAGGCAGAGATAAGTGGACAGATGAAATACATATGTTGTAGGTAGAACAAAAGGATGTGTTTATGAATTAGATGTAAGGGATAAAAAAAGATTTGGGGTTTTTTGGTTTTTCTTGAGATGGCATTTCACTCTTGTTGCCCAGGCTAGAGTACAATGGCGCGATCTCGGCTCACTGCAACCTCCGCCTCCCCGGTTCAAGTGATTCTCCTGCCTCAGCCTCCCGAGTAGCTGAGATGACAGGCATGCACCACCACACCCGGCTAATTTTGTATTTTTAGTAGAGACGGGGTTTCTCCCTGTTGCTCAGGATAGAAGTTAAGGATACATTCCAGATTTCTGGATTTAACAACTAAATAAATAATTTGCTATTTTGTGAAATAAGGAAAACTGAAAAAAAAGAGAAATAGTAGAAAGAAGAAAAGGGGGAAATGAAGCGTTCACTGTGGAGCTGCAGTCTTGAAGACACCTATGAAACCTCCAGGTGAAAATATGGGGGGGAATTAGATGTGCACATCTGGAGCTCAGAAGAGAAAGGAGGGCAGAGGAATGCAATGCGGGAGTGATCAGCACACAGCTTGGTTTTAAAGGCCTAGAAATGAATGAGATCACCTAAGGAAACAGTACAAATATCAAAAGGAGACCAAAGCTATTTCCTGAGTCACAGCAGAAGCCTCAACAAAGGAGAACCAGCAGAAAACCAGCAGAGTGTATGTATTAATGCAGAAGCTACAAGAGGAGAGCATTTCTAGAAGGATGGGGTAGTCAACTATGTCACCTGACACTGAGGGGCCAAGTGAGATGACGCCAGAGGATCCAGTAGATTTGGCAGCATGGAAATCACTTATGGCAATGACAAGAGCAATCTCAGTAGAGAGCTGGGGGTGGAAGTCAGATTGGAGTAGGCGAAGACGGAATGAAAAAGGAGGAAGTGAAATGGCATGTAGAGATGTCTCTGAATGGTTCTGTTATGAAGGGGAGTAGAAAAATGGAGCTTTTGATAAAGGAGAAGGCTAGACTAAGCGACAATCTCTAATGATGGAAGATGCTAGAGAACACTAGAGTTTCTCAGTACACTCACGAGAATGATACAAGAGAAAGAGGCTGATGACGCAGAGAGAGTGAATAACCAAAGTGGAGACCTTGAGTGTCTAGAGCAGTAGCCCCCAAGTCAGGTATGTAGGGATTTGTAAGGCAATCTGGTAGAGTGGTGGGGGACACGGGAGAGACAGAACTGCTTTATTTTTAATATAAAATAAAAGAAATCAAGCATTCTTAAAATATGTATGCATATATATATACACACACACAAATAGGTTTAATATGAATATTATTATAAAACAGACACAAGTACATAAGTACCACTACCAGCACACTACCAGTGGCGTGCTGGAGTCACTCCACAGCGGCTCATGAGAGCTTATTGTGTACATCTCTTTCCAATCAGGCATTCAGTAACACCATGATGGTGGCTTGAAACTGTCCACAGTGAGAGTATTTACATTGCGGAAATCGAAAAACACTAAAAATCAAGGCTGGTTCACTTCCCCTACAGGCCACTTGTTAAACATTTTCTAGGACCTCACTATATGTGCTTATCTACTGATAGCAGTATGTGATCAAAAATATTTGGATAGGAGAGAAGATACTTCTTATATTGCAATAGGCTAGAAGGAGAAAGAAGGTATGAATTCAGATAGGATGATAAATGTAATAATAGTAGGCAGATGAGTAAGTTCTAGGGTTTCTTTTGGAGGGGTGGTGGTTACAGAAAGCTCTGACTTTCTCAGCGAAGTTAAGGTGAATCACTAGCTAAGAATGCATGCTGGTCATTAGAGCTGTTTGCTAAATAATTCTGGATTCCTCCCCTGCTACCCAGCTTTTTGGGCCCAGTATAAAATTACACTTCCTGGCCCCCTCATGATGGATGAAACATGGGATTACTTCTGTCCAGTGAAAAATGATGGTCATCCTTCCAGCCTGGAACATGTCATTGTCACTGCAAGACCCTCCAGCATACTCTGCACCCCTCTGCCACAGCAACCAGCTGGTGGCTGCTTGGATCTCCGAGCTACTTTAATGGGTAGTGACTCTGTGCCAACCCACAAATGATACATAAAATGGACACGAAATATCATTGTGTGGAGCCACTGAGATTTGAGAGTCATCAGTTACTATAGCATAATCCAGCCTGTTCTGAGGCAGAGTGCAGGAGATATTATAGAAGACATGAAGAAAGTGGGAGGAAGTACACATAAGAAAAATAAATGAGTCAAGTTTGAATGTGAAAAAATGACTTTACTAGGTAAGTGTGGTAAGACTGCTCTGCTTCTCAAAATGCCTATCTGAGGTGTTGACCATGAACTGAAAGTGACAAAGAGAGGAGTCACGTGGCATACCACTATGGACTGTCATTGAGACTGTCAGGGATCCACTAAGGATTTAGAGTTTCCATATTTCAGTTATCCCCATTGGAAAACAGAAACAGTGATATCGTACTTTCTATTTACATAGCTTATGAAGAAAGCAATGCAATCCTGTAGGCAGAGACCAAATATTCTGGAGCCATGAGCAGTAACTCTAATTCTATCACTATACTGGTTACTTTCTAAGCAAGTCCCTGAGGCCCCAGTATACTCAAAGCAATGATGAAGAAGTGATGAAGAAGGTAATTTCTTCACACTGTCTTCACACCTCCAGTACTCTCTGAATGGTCTTTAGTATAAAATAATAAAGAAAAGTATGGTAATTCCAAAGAACTCTGTTTCTGAACACACTCCCCTCTGGGACTACGAAAGGAACACTGAAAATAATGCACTCATATGCACAAACGCCTGCCCTCCCCCCATTGAAATCTTGCTGCCCTTGTTCAACATACACTGGGTCTCAACACTATATAAGATCTATTTAATACAGGGAAATTATAACCCTATGGACCAGGAAAACCATAAAACCACATAAATATCATCTGTAAATACCTTGACATAAAAAACAGCATAAAAAGAAAATAATGGCATGGGAAAATATTCCATTTTTTTTCCACTTAGATCATGTCCCTTTTCTCTCTGACCATAAGTGCTTCTATTC